ATAAAACTGCACCATCACACATACAAAAATGTGACTCTTATCTGTATTGTTTCATCGTGGATTTGTCTAGCTTGTTGGTCTTCCCAACCAGACTGAATCCAAGCCTTCAATAAGTAATCATATAGAAACATAAAACTGCACCATCACACATACAAAAATGTGACTCTTACCTGTATTGTTTCATAATGTATTTGTCTAGCTTGTTGGTCTTCACCTCCAGACTGAATCCAAGCCTTCAATAAGTAATCATATAGAAACATAAAACTGCACCATCACACATACAAAAATGTGACTCTTACCTGTATTGTTTCATAGTGGATTTGTCTAGCTTGTTGGTCTTCCCTACCAGACTGGATCCAAGCCTTCAATAAGTAATCATATAGAAACATAAAACTGCACCATCACACATACAAAAATGTGACTCTTACCTGTATTGTTTCATAGTGGATTTGTCTAGCTTGTTGGTCTTCCCCTACCAGACTGGAATCCAAGCCTTCAATAAGTAATCATATAGAAACATAAATCTGCACCATCACACATACAAAAATATGACTCTTACCTGTATTGCTTCATCGTACATTTGTCTAGCTTGTTGGTCTTCCCCACCAGACTGGATCCAAGCCTTCAATAAGTACTCGTAGAAGCTGTCTCCAAGAGCACCCAGAGATATGTGATCTAAGTTCAAGAATTATTAGTTTAACATGCCAGAAAACAAAACAACAGAATCACAAAGTTTTATGTTTATCACAGATGTAAAATCAATACTTTGGCATCAGGCCATGAATGATCTGTACCAACCTATTTTTATCAAAGATGTAAAAATCAATATTTCAATATCAGACTATGAATACTTACGCTGACCCCATCTGGCAGTTCTTGGATTTAAGTAATTTGGGTAAAGGCCTTGAGGTTTTTCTAATTTCATAAGCACTTCCCTTATCTTGAAAACTTTTTCTTTGTAGACAAGATTGCCAGTGATCTCACTTAGATACATGAATTCCAGATGAAGGCTTCCAAATTCTGCCAAGATTGAGCTGGAGCTGGAGGCCCAAGCATAATTCTTACTGGTACCACTGTTTAATAATAATATGAAGGTATATTGTTATGTAAAAAAACTAACAACCTTTACTTTCTACAAAGGTTAAACATTCTAAAAGTTTTTCCACTTCTTGAGAAAGGTACACCATACCATTCAAGGTTAATTTTGAAAGATAATAAACATGAAAATATCTCCGTCAGAAATTTTTTTCATGTATATGTATATCAAAGCTAAGATTCCTTCCAAATGAGTATCATCATATCTGATAAATGCTGGTTTATGTTATGCCTTCTCCGTTACAACGTGCAACTACCTACAACCAAAAACTTAAATTAAAACTCATCTTGGAGATATAAAACAAAGAATAACTTCAGAAAATGCAACTCTGCCTGTTCATGGAAGTTTTGTAAATTCTTTTGATTAAGTTGGACTAAAAACAAAGAACATAAATAAGTTTAACATCTAGTTAAGAACACAAAATTATTTTTTACATTGAGAAAATAGAAATATACATTTTTTAATTTTAGTGTTCAGAATTCTGCTTAAAGTTAATTAACTAACTTAATTATATAAAATTTTAAGGAGTATTATTTGGGAGAAGCCAGTTGAACTTTTTAATCTATAGAACTTGAAAATTCACATTTTCCTTACCTTAAAATGTATTCCAGATAGATGCTCACCTCTCTACAGAACTGACAGCTATTACCTCATGTCACTGCTAAAAACATTTTGGTGCATGTGACAAGCCTTGAATGAAATTCCCAACACCTACAGCCCAGTCTATGATGTGATCATCAATAGAGCACATCCATTGCTCAACAGGAGGGCAACCCATCCTCCATTTGTAGCATTCATGTTTCAACAGAAGCTCATTTTTGAGGCAAAAGAAACACATCAGAAGAGAGGAGGAAGGGTGAGAAGTTCTATGAAGAGGTGAGTATCTTTCCCAAATATATTTTTGGGTGAAGAAAATCTTAACTTCAAACAATATTCACTTCTCTACAGAACAGATAGCTTGAATCCCACATTGATAAGATGGGAGAGGGGCCAGTGCAGATAAAGAAATTAGAAAGAAGTCCTTTCTGAAATTAAAGCATCTTAAAGGGAAACTCGTGTAACATTTTATCCACTTGCAGGGGGGAGGGGGGAGCATAACATTGTAGGAGAACTCATCCAACTCTTAAAGGTGGTAGATCAAAAGATGCTGTCAAATGAACCCTCTGCATGGTACTAAAGTGTTGCATATCTGTGGGATTGTCTCAAAGTAGAACTCTCCATATCAACTTCTCCAGCCCATTGGGACTTGGTATACTCTTTACCCCACTAAAAGAAAATTGGAGAGAAGAAATAGCATGGGGGAGAAGGCTGAAGAGGTGCTTGGACCAAAGTGGTAAAACTGTATATTTACAAAACTAAAATTTGTTTGTCTGTCTATGATCTACAGTATTTAGCAAACCAAATGTGTTTGCCGTTCTCTGTTGTATAGTATGATTTTGTGTTTAAAACAGACTTTTAATGTTTACTGAAAGCTTGCCACATTTCCTGGAACTACATTTTGTACATACAGAGTAATTGTACATAAAAACATAGTGGTTAATTAGTCGGTCAAGCACGTACAGAGAGAGAGAGTTAAGTGACAATCTACTGATATAAATCTATCCCACAGTCATTTCCTCAAGGTAATTTAAGATTTACCTAATTACTGTCGTATAAAAAACAAAATACAAATGAAAAGTTTTAAGTAACCTGAAATTCTAACATGACTGTTTGATTCTAACAAACTTTATTTCAACTAAAACAATCTAACAAACATATTGTTGCGTCAGCGAGTCACATGACCACCGTGACGCAACGTTTCTAGAACTATCATGTACTTTGGCGAATGTTCAAGTTCTTACTAGAAATAGGGTAT